GGGGGGGGGGGGTTGCTACGCAGGAGCTACATGCAGCTGGACATTGTGTCCTCAAACCCTCGAGTGGTGGGAGGCCTTAGCCTGCTTCCCACCCTCCAGCTGCCCGGCCCCAGTGCTACCCCGGGCACCTCCATGCACACCTGGCCAGAGGCCGGCCTGCCTTTCTACTGGAAGGTGCCCTGTGGCCTGGCACCCAGGCAGAGGCCTTGAGCATGGCCCTCCCCAGGATGTAGGGAACCCTCCAAGGGTTGCTAGGAGTCAAGAGAGCCTGTGGTCTCCTGCCTAGCGAGGAGGAGCAACTAGAGTGGGGAAGCAGGGGTGTGGGCCTTTGCCCTGCAGGCCTCTGTGCCGGACCTGAGCACACCAGGCAAGAAGAACCTGCCCGTCAAAGTGAGGTGTTGACAGAGTGGCTCTCTTCTTGCCACTGGTGGTACAATGAGAGGAGAGAGAGAACTTGAGGGAAAAGCCATTCAACAAAAAGGGGTCTCATCCTGGGACTGTGATTCACCAAACAGCAACGGAGGAGCCCAGGCGGTAAGTCCAGCAAATGCTCAGAGTCAGACGCAGACGCGGTGCCGGGGGCAGGGTGGCGGCACTGCTGACTTGGCAGAGAACGGCTAAGCCACCCTCCCAGTTGGGAAGTGGGGACGGGCGCAAGGGTGTCTACAAAGCCCAGGACCATCTCCCAGGGGAGCAAGCATTCGCCGTCCGTTGGGGCAGGGTGGGGAGCCGCCTCACCTGCGCTCGGATCAGGGACTCAAAGCTGGGCTGGAAGTAGTCCAGGCGGCTGTTGTAGAACCGCGGCATCTCATCCAGGAGCTGCTTGTTCTTGGCCTCAAAGTCGTCCCGCACAGGCCGAAGCTCTTCTCGGGCCTGAGGGACAAGACACTGGGTGTCATAGCTCTTGGTAGCTTATCCAGAGTGTATGCTGGGGGCACGATGTGTACGTTGGGGGCGGGGGTGGGGTGGGGATCACATCTGGTGTCTTGGTCTCCTAGCCCCCAAAGCTGGTCCCCAGGTGAAGGAGGAACTTGTCACACATCACCCACGGGGCCCGTTGTCCACACCCACCTCTCCCTTCTTGGTACCTGGTGGAGTTTGGCCAGCACTGGCCCCGTCTTCTCCTTCTCCTCGTACTTCTCCACCTTGGCCTGCAATCTTCTGTAGTCCTGCAAGGCCTGCTCCCGCCGCTTCACCGCCATGTTGAGGCTCGGGAAGACACTGCTAAACCTGCCGCACAGTCGGATACAGGCTGTTCTTGGAGCCGCAGCCCAGCAGCTCGGCGTCCATTCAAAAATACATACTGAGTGCCTACTGAGTGCCAGACCCTGTTCTAGGTCTTGGGGATTTCACGTGGGTAAGACAGATGAGGCCGTGGCCCCTGGGGAGCACCCACTGCTGAGAATGCCGTCTGGGGTAAGGCCACAGGAGAGAAGTAGGACTAAGGGTCACTCTACTGATCAGAGTGAGCCACAGGGGCAGGAATGCAAGGAAGCCACTGGCATGGCCACTGCCCCTTCCCCACCCATCTCATATGACCCCGCACATGACAGAGACCTGTCACAGAACATGGGAGAGCTGAAGACTCTTGGGAATAATCTGTCCAACATCTTCCTTTAACACAATCAATGAAATTGAGGCCAGAGAGATGACATGACTTGTCCAGGGTCACAACCAGGATAGTGACTGTCCAGCCAAGAGCTCAAGCATCCCACTTCTCTGGCACCTCCCTGCCACCTCATGGTGTCACTAGCAGTGACAACTGCAGTCAAAACCTAGTCTTGGACTATTTCTATCAGCTGACCGTGAGAAAAGCAGGAACCCTCGGGTTCTGCCACTGAAATGGCTGAACCGTTGAACCAGATGTTTGAGGAAAATGACTCAAGGACATCTTGTTGCCCCACCGGGACTAAAAAGGACCACAGGGAAATGCTGAGGAGTGGGCCACTCACAAAGAGTGGCAGCGGACACTTTTGGCCCCTGTGGGCATCATCTTTGTGATGACTATCATCTTTGACTAGGAAGAGCAATGAGGTCTTGAGACAGACACCGGGCAGGACTGCATCCCAGGCAGAGACGCTGTGTTTCCCTTGATTGGAGTGTCGGAGAAGGCAAGGCAAGCCTGCAAGCAGGTTTTCTGGAACTGGACGGGAAGAGATGGGGGAGCTGCCTGGCGAGCAAAGCCTGCAGGGCAGGAGGCGGCAGGAGGCATCTACCCTGCAGGTCGGGCCCCGCAACTGAGGAAAATGGTGGCACAGTGGTTATTCGGGGTTGAGAGGCACAGAGGGGGCACTTGGGGCCAGAAGACTGGGTTTCTCTAGGAGCAGCCGGGACAACATGCTGTGGGGACCTCCCCTTCCACAATGCTGGGGCCGGAGGTGCCTGTCAGCTCCAGGGCCATCTTTAGGCAGTTCACATGCCACAGGAAGAACAATTTTCCAAGTCTGCCTCTCAAAGAAGCATGATCATGAATTTGGTTTTTAAAAGCCCCAACAAATCACGAGTGCCCGTGACATAAGAGTAATGAAGATTTTTGCCAGAGAACAGAGAACATAAATTTGACCAAAGCACTGAATTCCCCAGCCAAGGCTATAGATACAGGCAGTAGGTTCTGGTCAAACAAAAGCCTTATCCCCAAGAAAGGACACTAAAATGAGTCCTTCTAACTGACTGGGTGACCTAATGGGCTCACTACCTAACTGGAAAGGCTAGAAGTGGGTAAGACATGCCCTTAGACAAATCAGTCATCAAATCGATACTTGAATGACTGATCTGCCAGCAGAGGAGCCTCCTTGCTGCTGTGTGAACTGGGTGTGGGGAGCAGTACCTTCAGGACAAAGGTCCCCTATCCTGGGTAGGTCTGAACAGATAAGACCATGGGCAGGGACCAGCCTCACTGTTTGTGCCTCAGGCGGCAGCTCTGAGGGGGTCTCAGTTGCTAGGCAAGCCCCTCTCCCCGCCTGGGAGGAGTGTGACCAGCAGCTGAGAGGCCTGTGACTCAAGGAAGCAGGTGCAACGGAGCCTGAGAAACCACCACCACCACCACCACCCTCTTGACCCCAACCAGACTACAGGCCACCAGTGGCCACCCTCATTCTCTCATTAGAAGTGGGCTGCTTAGGTGGCCCCAGTGCCTGGGCCTCTGCTGTCCATGCTGCTGGCGGCCTGGGAGGAGTGGGCACGGACAGGACAAGAATGGGGCAGGAAGCAACAGGTGGAGGGTTTCCTCCTATTAGGAGGGATGCATTCTGCGGGTGCCAGGTGGGACGACCACCATGCTGGTGGCTGAGCAGTTCCGGATGCCCTCTGACCCCAGAGCACTCGTCTCTTTGCTCGCCCTCAGTTGTCACCTGGGGTTGATTCCCAGGGCTGGGATCAAAGGCACAGAAACGACAACTAAATGCCATTGCAGGGGTTGGGTTCAGGCCTCCCCTTCCACAGATGGGGAAACAGATTTGGAGGAGCAGGGCGCTGGCCAGGGTCATGGGCTGGCTGGGGGCCAGCTGGGACTGCCCGCCCAGCACTTTCCCCACTCCGCTGCAAAGCGCCCCCTGGGCATTTATGGACCATCCTGGTCTTTCTTCCTGAGAGCACCATCATGGCTTCAACACTGGGTCACAAGCTCCTAAGATCTGTGTTGTGTCCGCCCTCCAGAGAAAGCAGAACAGGGCTGGGCCTACACCACACCCTCGCTGAAGCTCTGCCCAGGTGACTGTCCTAAGGTTCAACCAAACTGCCTCCCCTGGGTAAGCAGTGGGGTGAGGAGGCAGTGAGAGGGAGGAGGGAAAGGGGGAGGGAGAAAGAGGCCGGCTGGGAGGTAGGCTGGGAGCAGCCGGCCCTGGTGGGGAATGCCTGCCATTCCTCAATCTGTGCCCACACAGCCGGGATCTTCCACCCACCAGGAAAGGGAAATTGAAAGCATCCCCATCCGACCATGTGAACACAGCCCAGAGACTGGGGGATTAGAGGCCGAGCCCCCTGGGGGGAGGCTGGGGGCGGCAGGGTGGCCATGTGGTGATGTTCTTCATCAGAGGACAGGAAAGCTGCAGTTTCCTGTTTCCGGTACTGGGGTCCCTGGGAGCTTCTCTCCTGGCAAGAGGCGGCAACAGGCAGTGCCGGTTTTATGTGGTTGGGGGAGATCGCATGTCGGCTACGGGATGGAGAAGCCGGCCGGGTAGGCAAGCAGGCCCGGGGGGCTTAGGCAGAGGTCAGCGGATCTGCTGCGGAGATGGTGCCCGCCTCCTGTGCCACTCACCCACCTTCCTGGCAGGTGGTGGGCTGCTGGGGCGGTGGGAAGCAGCCGGGATTTCTCTCCATTTGGCTCTAGAAGCCAGGCATCAGATTTCAAGGCCGCCTCCTTGGTTGTGAAATCGAGGTTGGAGTCAGTCCCCTAGCTCTCTGAGCTGGTGTCCCCTGCCTAGCTCTGCCAGCCATGGGTGTCTCTGTGGCAGCTCCTGGAACGCCAGGGGCAGGGTCTGCTCTGCCCGTGGTCCTTCCCACCCAACTGCGAACGCTCGGTCCTGTGGACCCGGTCAGAAAGCCACCAGCCACGGAGCCCCTGCTGCCACCTCCCTCCTGAGCCACCAGCCTCCTCGGCACCCAGTTCCTTGTGTGGCCCTGCAACCTGGGCCCGAGCAGGGGGTAGGGGAAGGGGCCCAGGGAAGGAGGGTGGGCCGAGCCTCCAGACAGCCTGGCTCAGAAAGAGCTTTCCCTAACCCCACCCCTCGGACCCGAACAGGGAGTGAAGAGCTCAGTAACCTCAAAGCCAGGGGCTAGAGGACCAAAACCTGCTCTCTTCATCTCCCTCCGGGCCCCGATCCAGGCCTAATGGTAATTAGCAGAGCCTCATTACCCAGGCCTGGTGAGGCAGCTGCCAGGGACCACCACAGAAGAGGTAATAAAGTGCAGCTGCCGGGCTGGAGCGGGAGCCTTTCTAGGTCAGAGTCAGTTTGGGAGAGGCTAGGGGGGCAGATGAAGTGATGTGGAGCTTCAAGGCAATGCTCCTGCCTGTCCCCGCCCCCCGCCAGCCCACCACCTCAGGGGACTGGGGGATAGGCCTGTCTGATGGCTGCCCAGAGCCTGCCTGAGAGAAGATGAGCCTCGCAGAAGAATTTCTGACCCTGTCGGGTCACGAGTTTGGGGACCTTCCCAGGCAGGACCCTGCTGCTGCGCCCTTCCCCATGTGCAGCCACCCCCACATCTCCGAAGCCGGGCGCCGCAGGCAGCTGCTCTCCCGGTGCGGCGGGGAGATGAAAGGCCTTGCTCATCCCCGCTGAGGGCTGGCCAAGCGCTCTGCTCGCTTCATTCAGCAAGCTCTGGGACCTCTGGCTCTCAGCGGGAACAGAGGGAAAGATGGCAAAGTGACCACTGACTAGAGGCTGTCTGCTGGGGCAGACCGCAAGTCACTGAGTGCACTGGGCAGGGCGGGTGCTCTGGGGCCACAGATCACATCGCCAGCGTCCCTGTTGAGTTTCCGGTCAGCTCCCTGGGAGTCTGGGGTTCTAGGCTGCTGGAAATGATATTCGGTCCCCAGTCGGCCAGTTGACCTGCCTTTCCAATAAGCGCCCCCAGCCTAGTTCCCTCAGGCCTGCGGTCCCCAGATGACCACTACTCACTTTTTTAAGGGTTCAATCACGGTCTTTTGGATCTGGTTCACCTGTTGAAAGAAAGACCCAATGAATCAAGACCAAGGGGAAGTCAGACTCTTCCTAAAAGGGGAGGATCTACGTTCCTGAGAAAGGGGACAGTCAGGGCTGTCCTGAGAGCCCTGGGTGGGGACGAGATGGGGCGGGGGCACCCCTGACTCCGCAGCTGGAGCCAGGCGGAGAGGACGATGATGGCCAGGACGTCGAGGGCAGCAGGGAGTACTGTTCTTGTTCCAGGTCTGTTCTCCTCCCGCCAGCACCGTCTGCAGGCTGCTGACAGCCGTGCTCAGGGGGCAGGCTGGGTGGGCAGCTGCAGGATGTGTGAGGGGCTCCGGGTGAGCAGAGCTGCCCTGCCTCCCTCGGGGTCTCACAGTGAGCGATATGAGCTCGTGGGAGTCACGGGCAGCACAGGGTGCCGAAGCAGGTCCAGGAACGAGCTCACGGGACTCGTGACACACGGGTGTCAGAGCACTGAGGGCGTCGGAAGACCGAGCCCTGGGAGGACTCTGCACGGGCGCTCCACCCAGGCAGAAGCCACGGGAAGGGGGAGAGCAAGACCCCAGCTACCTTCTCCTGGTTGAAGGCGTCCATCCGCTTCATGGCTGTGTCCAGGGCTGTCACCATGTTCAGGAAGTCCTGGTCTTGCTCGCAGAGGGGATTGGAGAGCAAGTCCAAGGATATCTTCACAGCAGATTTGGATAAGGCTGTAAGAAGTCAAAGCTCGGTGAACCTATGAAGGGACAGGCTTCAAGGTCTTGTCCTTAGGACGCTGTCCTTCCTCAGTCCAGCGGCCATACCCTGACCGCCACCCCGGCCACAGGCCAGAAAAGCTACAGAGTACCACAAGCTGAAAGTCACCGGTCCTTACTGGATGGTGTTCGCTCCTGACCATCTGAGGCTGCTCTGGGTAGTTCTTCGGAGCACCTTTACCTTTGGCAATGACTTCATTTCCCAAACTCTGGGTTTTAACAGAATCCTTTGGGCGGGAAGCTGTAAAAAATACCTATTTTCTAGCTCTAAAGAGTCTATCTCAGTAAGTCTGTAATCCAGAAACATGTATCTTAAAGAAACTCTCCAGGTGGTTTGGGCATGAAGCTTGGTTTGGGACCCTCTCACGAACGAGAGTAAGAGTGTGCCCCACGAGAACTGGCAAACATACCATAAAGGCTAGAAATCAAGATGGCAGGCTGTGTGGGCTGCATGGTTTCTGCTGCAACTACTCAACTCTGCCACAGACAGTACCTAAAGAATGGGTGTGGCTTTGTTCCAATGGCCCTTTATTGACAAAATGAGGCCAGATTTGGTGTGGCTAGGCAACCCCTGGTTTCAATGACATACACTCAGAAACTTGTTTTCCCCTGAGCCTCTGGAGCTGGTACAGACCCTACCGAGCAAGCACGGCCCCTTCCCAGTCTCTTCCTGCCCCTGTAGACTTTTGTTTGCACGTAATGGAGACTGAAAGACTTGTACTTTAGACCAAAAACTCCAAAGCTGCTGACAGGTTTCCATCCTGCCTCTGCAGGGTTCCCGTGCCCCCACTGTTTTATCCAGGGCTCATACAACGCAGGAGACATTTCAGGTAGTGTATTTTGGCCCTGTTTTACAGATGAGGAGGGTGAGGCTCCAAAGAGGTTATAACTCCCTCAAGGTCAAACAGCTCCAAGTGCCGAGCCAGGACTAGACCCTGGGCACCCGCCTCGCCGCCCACTCCTCTCCTGGTGATCCGCCTGGAGACAGCTGTGGGCAGGCCCCACAAGGCTCTGCTGCGGTATCTGCTTATGTTGTTAAAGGTCTTCTCTGGTACCATTTCCCCACAGATGGAGGCCACTGCCCTGCTGTAGCCTTGTTCACATGTTTCTACACCATGTTTGACAGAGGATATGGGGATATGGGGAGCCTGGAAATCAGAGGGCAGCAGCTCCAAGGCAGGATGGAGATCTATTGGCAGCTTTGGGGTTCTCAGTCCAAGTTTTCGGGTCTCCATTATTTGCAAACAAACAAAAAAATTCTAGAGGGGCAGGCAGAGAGACTGGTGAAGGGGCATGCTTGCTCCATAGTGTCTGTACCAGTTTGAGGGTTTCAGGAGAAAAGTTTTTGAATGTATTCCTCACTACTTTATGCCACTGAATTTAAGATGGTAACACACCATTAATGTATAGCCATTGAGAAAGAAAAACTATGCTGCGAATTATGTTACGGTGTGTTGATTTCTGAGATGTTAAAAGTGAAACAATGTCTTTGAATCAATGAAATGAGGTCCACTCCAGTTAACCAGAGATGTGCCCCTGCCTTGCCATATGAAGAGCGCGTTGGCCCCACGTGCCTACTCCTTGGCCCCAAGGGCCTACTTCTCTGTTTCCGGTGGGAGAAACGGAAGCCTAGCGGGTCCCTCTCCACTCAGGCTCCTCCATATGCCAGCAGAGAAGCCCACAGTGGATGACTGGCTCACGCAGCGCCCTGTCCTGGGCCTCCCTCTAATCTGGTAGCCTGCTGCAGTCACCCAGCAAACAGGCACAGTATGGGAGAAGCCTGGAAATATATACTTCCCAGAAATGTTGAGGCAGTGGAGCTAAGAACCCTCTTTCAAATCTGTGCAGTGACTTTGTAGGCTTAGGAGCAAACATCATGTGTAACTGGACTGGATCATGAAATGGTCACACACAGTATAATTAAAGGATAGAAACTTGGGACAAAACTGGAAACGTTTTTGAAAAATTTCTTCCACTACTTTTTAATACTTGAGGAAAAAAATCCTGAAAAGGTAGGGCAGGGGAGACTTCCTTCCCAATTTTCCTTTTCTTTCCTAAAGCCTCACACTTCAGGCCTCTGCCTCTGTCTTTGTTCGAACCATCTGAAATCAATTAACAGTGTGGAATCCCGCTGGGAGTCCTCACTGGCCTATGTGAGTGAGTGAGTGCCGCAGGGCAGGGCCATAGAGCCTCCACTCTCAGGGACTGGGAGGGTGTGGCCAGCCCAGCACCAATTGGGAGGCTGGTGGTCTTTGAACCTTAAAGAGAATGCGGGTCTCCAACGCCACATGGGTCTCTGGAACCCTGATGCCACCTCAAAATATAAGGGTCGACAAAGACCTAACAGGGACTGGCGGTGCACAGATGATCTTGTTTGGAAACACAGAATGGGATTTTAGATCTTGTCCAGGCAGTTGATTTCCCTCAATTGTCTGGGGCAGTGGTTCTCAAAATGGGGTCCCCGGGCCAGCTGCCTCAGCACTGCCTGGGGGTGGGCTGGACAATCTGCCTCGTGGCGGGCCTTCCAGTGACCCTGATGCACTGACTGTGACTGCTTCAGGAGGGCTTTCTCTGCCCAGATTCTAGTTCTCACTGGGGGCGGACGAGGCCAGGAACCCTGGGCCCCAGGGGTCCCCCATTTATTTTGATTTCTTGTGGGGAAAACCATGCTCTCCACTTCATGGATCCCTGACGTTCCACAGCTTCCAAAGCTGCCCACTCTGAAAACGCAACCTTCCCTTCATCTGTGCTCTGACAGTGCAGTCTATCTGGAGAAGTACCAAAGAAAGGAAGCAATAGGTCACAGCTTCTCCTGTACTGGAAAGGCAGTGGCGAACGATAAATATGCCACCCAGGGAACCTGGAACTATCCACAAAACAAATAACAGATGGGCTCCGTAATCAGACCCTTGGCTCGCTGCACACGTAGTCTGGAGATGCCAGGGACAGTCGTGTTCAGACCCACCCATGTCCTCTGGATGAGCGGTGACATGAGCATCTGTGCACAGACCACAGGAGCCAGCCCCGACGTGACGGAGGGGCAGAGGTCCACCCGTGACCCGGCCAGGCCCGGCCCAGCTCTGGACTATGCCACCTACCCAGATCAGCATCGGTGCCCTTCTTCATGTCCTTCTGCAGCCTCCTGGTCTGCTCCTCCAGCCTGCAAGGCAGGGGCACAGCCTTAGGCACCTGGCATCGTCAGCTTGCTTCAGCCCCCTTCCTTCCCATCTACCTGAGTGAAGCCCAGCCTGATGCCCTGGAAGGCCTGCCAGGAGAGGGGGCCCCTGCTCCATGGGGAGTTTTCCCACCGACTGAAGGGCTGCTACCGGCTCTGCATGAGGCCAAGCACCCAAAGGCTATGAGTTAACGACTGTCACATAGCCATCAACTGGGGGAGAATTTCTGGCAGGCTGTGAACTGAGCTGCCCTCTGCTCCCGCGGCACTTACGGGACAGACGAGCGGCCCACTAATGGAGGTGCCGGAAGGGGCAGTGCGGGAACTGAGACCTGGTGGAAGGCTCCTGCCCTTCCCCCCCTCGCCCCCCCCCCCCACTCCCCCCAGCCTCCATCCTTCTGGGCTTTGACACTCACTGCTGGAGTTTTCCATACTCCCTTTCAAAATCTCTCTCCACCTGTAACCAAAGAGATAACTCAATCATCGGAGAAATGACAACACGCTGGAAAAAATCTGCCAGCCTACTGAAACTCCCTCTCCACCCTCCCCCCAGCTGCAGAAAACAACACGGTTCAGTTCATACAAGCTCCAGCAGATCGTTAACGACACAGTATCCCTGTGTTCCCAAATTAATTAAGTGTTTGATTTAGGGCACAAGACTCCCCTCCCAGATGGGCCAGCCAGGCAAGTAGCAGCGGATTGTGGCTCTGTTCCTCTACCACAGGGAGCCAGGCGCTGGGCTGCGTTCCCTCTCTCCTCACCCCTCCCATCGCGAGGCAGGTGAGGTGCTCGGAATGTGAATGTGACTGAGACTCGCAGGGGGGGAAGCAGGCGGGTCCCCTCCTACTCCTGGCCCTGGTTTCCTCACAGGGCTTACCAACTGTGAGGTTCAGGGTGGACCAAGAAACGTCCTGTCTGCACGCTCTGTGTGCTGGAATGTACCGAGCACAAATACTATTGCTACTGACCGGCAAGGCTCTCTTAAAATTCTTGATAAGTAACCAGATTTCCCCGATGCCAGCAAGACTGACATCAGATGGGTGTAAGTCTTGATCCCAATTCTGCCACCTGCATGTCAGGTGAAGCCAAGAAAGTCACTTGCACGTCCAGTGCCTGAATTTCTCCATCCGTCAAACGGGGCCCTGGCAATGGCCTCTCAGGAGAGTGGCCTGTGAGGGATATGACACCTGAGAGCTGAGAGGAGGGGACCGAGGCCTGTCCTGGTTCCCTTCTGCAGAGGCAGCAAGAGCTCCCTGGCCGGCGTGCTGAGCCTCTGGGCTGAGGCGCTCAATTAAGAGCAGCTAACATGCACGGGGTGCTCGCCGCATGCTTCTGTGAACGGCTTCTCCCCCACAACTGCAGAGGCAGGTGTACTTGTGGCCCTCACTGCACCAAGGAGCTCCCTAGGACAGAGGGGACGTATGCTGCACCAGCTCACACGACTAGTGAGTGGCAGGGCTAGGATCTGGACATAGGCAGCCTGGCTCCAAGGCGTGTGCTCTTAACAAGCATTCTACCAAAAAGGGGAAAGCCCCTTTTTGCTTTGAAGTAAAAGCATGATGAATTAAAGCCACGACCCAAGAAAGGTGCCTTCTTGGCTGCTCCCCGAGATGCCTTCCAGTGAGAGCCCTAAACCCTGGTCCTCACTCTCACAGCAGGCTGAAGGTCACGGAGCCCAAAGCTGTGGAAAGTGTCAAGGCCCCATTGTTCTTTGCTAGCGCACCCTTCCGTCACAGTGCCCCATGAAGGAGCATTCTGAAAGCCCATGTGCATTTAGGTAAACTCAACACAGTCACAGAACAGCAAAACATTATTCAGGCCGATTATTTCATGTTACAAACACAGAGGACGAAGCCCAGAGATGGGGAGTGATTTATATAAGGACTCAGGGCTAGTCAGAGGCAAACCAAGGCTAGAATTCAGACTCCTAGTTCAGCACCGGCCCCCTTTTTAAAATGACGTTCAATAACCTCACAAACATTTATTGAGCACCTATTAAGTGCAACGCAATCTGCCAGGTGAGAGAGATGCTCTGGTGAATAAACAGATGTGGGTCCTGGCAGGGGAGATAAAACAAATACACCTCTAACCTAAACCATGGACAGCCCCGTGGAGGATGGGGGCTAGAGAATGGCATGGAGAGCCTACTTAGCTAAGGTCCCGGGGCACAACCACATGTCGCCCTTGCATGGACACACCTCACGTTCCTCAACTGAAATGTAAAATTTAGAAGCAGGAACACAGGGTCTTTCCTTTTACTTTCTGACCCCAGCACCTGGGGTCTGACACAAAGTCGTGAAGTAAAATTCACCATCGGTTTCCCCCACCCTACAGTCTTTGCCCTCTTTTCAACAGACCCCCTGTTTTTCCATCCAGGAACCCAATGTTTTCATCATCACCTTCCTATGATCCATCAAAAGCTGCTCTTAAGAGGAAGCTCAAACTTCGCTCCCACTAAAGCGTATGTTCCGGAAAAAAGCTTAAAGTGCTACCTGTCCCAGGGGATGTGTAGCTGGGCAGGAATCAAAGTCTCAGCCAAAGGCCGGAAGAGCGTCTGGCGCGATGCAGGCGGGAGATTTGCTCTGGGGTAGCGAGGCCTCGCCTGGGCCCAGCAAGCCCGCGCTGGGACGGTCCAGCCCTTTCTCCACCAACACCGTCGAGGAAGGTGGGGGACAGGAACGAGCAGAGACGGATGACAGGTGGACTCTGATACCAGCTGTGCAGTATTAAAAACACTACCTAACATTTTGAGTCTCACGTACTTTTCTAGATGAATGGGATAACTCCATTCGGCCTTCCCCTGGGAAGATTTTCAGTGGCTGCCAAGGAAACGGGGTAGCAGTGTCCGTCTTGTTGGCTTGTTTAGAGGATCACCGAACAGTCTGTGTAGAGCACAGAGCTCGGTGCCTGGCCTGTGGATAGGGTTTCCTTGTTCTTCTCCCATGCACTGGGGTGCTGGGGGTGCCCAGAGAAGTCTGGGGGTGCAGACTGGTCTGTGGCCCTTTGGCAAAGCACGGGGTCAGTTGATAGCTGGGATGAACGCTGATTTGGGCTAAGCCAGGATCCTGTGCCCGGGGGTTACACCTGGGCCTCCCTTAACTGGACATATCACCCCTCTTATTTTGTAGGATGTGACGGCTAAGCAGAGTCTTTACGTATTAAAAGTATTCTTTTCCAAAAAGACGAAGTCAAGGATGTCCTGGTCAGACTCCAGCTTTTCTAAAGATGAAGAACATGCAGTGGGTGCTCCCAGAGGGAGGCGGGCGCAGAGAGCTCCGGCCTTGGCTCCTGGCACTCTCTTTTGCAATCCCCAAGTGTGCTGGTGCGTGTGTGGGATGTCAGAGAGCACCTGGTCCCCCTGGCTGGGAATGCTTGGACTTGCACAGAGAGCGAGCGACTGCGGGTTTCCAACTGGGCTGGAACATTCTGGTTGGGGAGCCGCTTGAGGTCTTACCCCGGCAGCTGAGAAGTATGTCAGGGTGGAGTTCGATCCTTCTGCTGCTGCTCACGGCCACGTGAGAGCCTGAGATGTTCATGAACGTGTCCCCCTTCTGCCTCTGGCAGCCAGGTGTGGGTTGCTCTCAAGATCGCTCTCCTCCCTTGGGGAAAGATCCGAGGCAACACCACCAGGATTCTGGCCCCTCGGATAATGGATAAGGGAATAAGGAGACACACTGGAGTCCTAGTGCAAGGTATCTCCATTCCGAGGGAAACAGCCAAACACGGAAGATCTGAACATCTCTGAATGCTTGATGCTTTTGCCAAAAAGGCGATTAGCCCCCAGTCAACAATGCAAGTGCAAACACATGTGCACGGCTGTCAGCGGGTCAGGGCGGGCCGGGCCGGGCGGCGAGGTTAGCGAAGGGGGAATGAGCACCAGACGGCCCGCTGCTCTGGGCATTTGCAAAGGCTCAAGGTGGAGGGGTGAGACTGTGCTGCTCAGCGCTCTACCCCCCGCGCCTAGGGTCAGGCTGGCATGGAGCAGGAGTCAGTATTCGTTAAATGAATGAGTGGGCTGAGGTCTCACCCAAACGGACGCTCGGGGTGAAGTGAAGAAGGATACCGGCAGGCAGGGCTCCGGCTCTAGCCCCGGAGCTAAGCCGTGTCGGATCAGAGCTGAGGCAGAGGGCACACTGGGTGATCTCGGAAGCCCCCTCTTGGAGGGGTGCTAGGGGCGGAAAGCAGCCTCCCTTTGGTGGATCATGTGTTACCACATGATCAAATGAGGCTGAGAGGCTCTCCACTTTGCAATTGGAGACTGTCCTCAAGTGGGGGCTCCGTGTGGCAGGATGCTCCCCTGCCCCGACGCTGTGGCATGCCTGCCTAGCTCGGAGTCTAAGAGTGTGCTTTCCTTCGTGTGCGAGACCCAGGGTGACCCCTGCTTCCAAGAGCTCTTCCCTCCTCAAAGGTTACGGACGGGGAAGCGGCTGCTTTTTGCCATGCCAAGATGCTCCGGCTACCTTATGGGACTGGTGGGGCAGGAGGGGTGTAAGCAGAGGGTGAGGAGGGTTCGGACTGGGAGGTGGGCGAGCTTTTGTCCCTCCGCCTCCATCCAGTGGCCAGCCCCTGCAGAGAACATGCCATTCCCTCGCCAGAGCCTTGACAACAATGGAATTCGTGTTAATAACCTGGGTGCAGAAGAACAGTGAGAGCAAACACACAATGCTTTCTTTGTGTCTGACAGTTGGGTACCTTGAGCCAAAAACCTCCTGAAACTCCCTGAAGATAACGTGAGCGTTTCTTCCCATGACGGGGGCGCCATGACTTCCAGGCAGCAGGCAGCCACATCTGCGCCTCTGACGGTGCCTGGGCAAGAACGGTAGCGCGTCACCACTGTCTGGGGGCAGCTGCCGGAGGCGCTGAGACGGCTGCCTGGGCTCGGCCTATGATGGGGGCCCGGAGGGGCTTGTGCGGCAGAGAACGAGATTGAAGAGGCAGGCTCTCGCTCCCTATACTTCGGTGCCTCTGGGGAGTTGAGGGAGCAAGTAACTCTCTTCCAAAGCCTAAGTCGGCTTTGATTCCTTGTGAGAGATCAAAGGCCCGGCCTACCATTTCCTTGTAGTAGGGGATCCGGCTGCTTGGAACAGGCTGAGTCCTCGGTGGTTTCTAAAGAGTCAAATCAACTATCTTCCCACAAGGTAGTTAATATTTATTGAGGGCTCATCATGTGCTAGACACTGTGTTAAGTGGTTCATACACATGACCTCATGTACACAAGACTCATACTATATCAGTGGCATAGGTACTAAGATCCTCACTTACGAAGGAGGAAACCAACGCTCAGAGACAGTAAAGGGCCTTGCTCAAGGTCACATACAGCATGTGGCGGAGCCGGTGGGAATCCAGGCAGGAAACCTACCCCATCTGGCTTCTTAACCACTGCTTGGTGCCCAGTCTGACTGGGGGAGCAGATTCCAGAAGTCAGAGGACCGCAGTTCCATCCCAAACAAGATTGACGTGAGGAGGGGAAGAGGGAAGCCACGGGCCCATCTGTGGGCTTGTCTGTAGGGCCGTCCATAGGTGCTGGGATTGTCCATTTGTCCCTCCTCTGGGGAGTCCTTGCCACTCCTCAGATTAAAAGACCCAGAGATCTTTCCGTCAACAAACTGGCAAAGAAGCTAGAAACTGAATTCTAACCTATACTTTTCTGTAGAGAACAACGGCTATCTCTATAGAGGTAAGGGTGTTGGGAGGGTTTTCTGTTTGCCTGTTTGTTTTTTGGTAGTGAGCGCTGGGAATAAAAGACCCTTCTCAAAACCACTTCCCTTTCAGATCTGCCCTGGATTAAACTCTGGAGACACAAAGCCACACCTTCCCACTTCCTGTAGCCGGCTAGAGCCCAACATTTGCACGCCCAGATTCTTTGCGCTTCAGCTGAGAGCCTCCACAGATGGTCAGCCTCTGCATGGGAGGTAAACTCTCAGTCTGTCCTCGGCCTGCCTTCACTTGAAAGAGAAACGCAGCCCATTTCCTTTTAAGTGGCCTGCCTTTGGATTTTCCAAAGACTGAGCCATTGGTCAGATGTGTGCTGAACTTCCCTTCCTGCCAAAATGAAGCAGGAGCTTTCCTGTAGTCCTGAGTTCTGAGCCAAGGAGGGCCGAGGTTATTAAGACAAGGAGAACCGTCAGGGGCTCCAGCAGGCTGACAGTTGCTGGAACTGTCACAATGAGAGATACTGTACAGTTATGGGTTCCCACGGTGAAACCAACAGCCTGATTAGATTTGGGGGTGAGGGAGTTCAAGAGGCCATTCTTTACTAGAATTCCCAAACCTCGGCAGACCTTCACAGCCTGAGTGAGGCAGCATAGAGCAGTGGAATGTGCATTGAACAGAGACTCCGACTTGGGTTCCAATTTCGGCTCTGTCGGTATTAGGGTTTTAAAAAAAAAAAAAAATTATTTTTTTTTGTTTTGTCTTAGGAGCACTCATGAGTGGGGGAGGGGAAGAGGGAGAGAGCAGCTCAAGCAGCTCTGCTTGAGAGTTGGATGCTTAACTGATTGAGCCACCCAGCTGCCCTAGTGTTCGTTTTTTTACAACCTTAGAAAGTCATGGTGGCTTCGTGGGCCTTGGTTTTCTCGTAAGGAAAATCAGGTTGGACTAGATGATCTGTAAGGGCTTCCAGCTCTAAACTTTCTAAAAATCTGTGATTCCTCTCCCATTCTGGAGATTAATAGAGATAAAAATTGTGGGTTCTCAAGGAGGTAGGATTCAATCATGCCCTCCTGACTCTGGGTCCTGGCTAAGAATTCCTTTGGCAGTGGAGAGAAAGGGACCTGGAGCCTCCTGGAGAAGCTTCCTGGTCTTCACACAGCCTAAGGTGGCTGGAGATAAAGGCCTGGGACATGTCCTTGGCAGGGGCCTAGGTTTCAGGAGCCCACTCAGGAAAGTGCAGAGTGCCACGCCAGACTGCAGAGATGGGCTGTCACCCACCTGTCACCCACCTCCTCCACCTGCCCCAGGATGGGGACGAGCCAGCCTGATTTGCAGAAGGAAGATGTCCCAGGCCAGGAGGCCTCCGCAAGCCCCAGTCTAAGTGAGGTTCCAGAGCGACACGGCTGGGAATGAGGCAGCCCGGGTTCTGCCCTCCCCAGCCCCACAATGTGCTGAATCAAACCTCTGGTTCTCTGCAAAGACCATGTGAGACAGACGGAGTCTCAGAATGAAAGAATCGGGTTACTCACTGTTTTAGGGACAATCTGTTTCTTGGGCTGCCCAATCTTGAAAGGAATCCTAGGAGAGAAAGAGACAAAGAGGGATTTTAGGAGAAACGGGGAAGGATGTAGCTGAAAAGAACTGATGAAGTCAAGGCCACTTTTCCCTGGAGGGTAACGAGAGCCAGTGGCCTGCTCCTGGCACTCGAACCACATGCCCTGTGGATCTAGGGCCGTCGGCAGCCAGGCTGGGCTCTGGAGGGTGATCTTCCCATGGACAGTGTCGGATGGAAGTCCTGGGCACCACCTTCTGCCCCAGAGCATCTTTCCTACTAGTAGCCGGGTGTTGAAACACGTTGCAAAGGTGAGGGCAGGGAAGGGGAGATACCACACGACAGACAGTCATTGTAAATCTGTGTCCTGAGGAGCTGCAAAGTCAGAATTACAGGCTCGCTGGGGCAGCTATCATCCTTGAAAACAAGCGTTTAAAAACACCATGAGAACCACTTATCGTCTGTATTAGGTGCTTCGCTACTTCTCTATAGAGGACTTGTTACGTGGCTGGAGACAGAGGACACACTACAGGGCATTAAGGCCCAGCCAGGCTGGGTTATTTCTGGTGAGAACTGACAACCTGAAACGTGGCTAACTCAAAGAGGGACCTGAATCTAGCCCAGGTCTGCCCTCTGCACCTCAGGTTCTCCACTTGGAAATGGAAGGCAGTTTGGCGTAACAGAAGGAGGGTCAAGAATCTAGCCTCTAAATCTAGGCCCCCCCTCCACTGGCCCCCACCGCCTCCCGCTCTGAGGAGCAGGCTGCCCCCTGGCAGGTAATGACTGCCCTGGGATTCATTGCCCACTCTGTGAAAGGACAGGGTTAGACTGGATAATTCAGAAGCTTCCTTGAGGCATGAAAAATTCTGATTCTACAATTCTGAGAAGCGTGGTCCTGCTAGGAGCAAACACAGTGCATGCCAACTGCTGGGAGAAGAAGAGGCTCCCCAGAGCCCCCAAGGTAGCAGTGAGTGAAGCACCCCTGGGATCAGCTCAGGGCACAGGGAGTCAGCAGGAGAGTCCGCAGGGCACGACTCCACTCCCACTCTTCTCTCAGTGCTCAGGACGCTGCAGTCCCTCCCTTTCAAACCTCCCGCTTCCAGCTTCCACCGCTGCACCCGCCCCTTCCCTCCGCACCCCCTTCTGCCCAAGCCTGCTTTCTCTTGGCCCAAACTGACCAACACTGTTGCTAAACCCAATGGTATAATTAACCACCGATAATAACCCCAGACAACGATCCGGTCGAGAGGATGGGCCAGCCTGAGTCACAGTGGTTTAAATTTAATTTCTGGAGGACATCCTGTTTATTGTTAACCCAGCCCGGTAATTTGGGAGCGTTAACCCTTTGGGGGCTGGCTGATTCACGTGGCTTCTGTAAACAAATAATCAGTGGCTATATAATTACCAGGGGAAAGGTAAGCTCTGGAACTGAAAAGAAGAGGAAGGGAGAAATTGCTCTTTCCCCTCCTCAAATCTAAAGAACAGAGGCTAAGGGAGCTGAGCTCCATAGTCCCCTCCTCGTGTCCCCAGTTACTTTTCCCCAAATCAGGGATTGGAGTTGACTGACACAATGGTTTTGGACAGTGAACAACTGCCCTCAAGGACTATTTTGGTGACAGTGCAAATGAGGTCCTGGTGGCATTGAGAGAAGATTGAGCCTGCACGAAGCATGTTGTGGGATAATAAGCTTTGGACCAGGAATCAGAAAACTGATCTCTGCCTTTGACTAGTTTTGTGATGCGAACAAATCACGGTCTCTCTGGAGCTTTTTCTTTCTCTTTCTTTCTTTCTTTTTTTCTTTCTTTCTTTTTTAAATTCTTTTAATGCTTATTTTTGAGAGAGAGAGAGAGAGAGAGAGAGAGAGGGAGGGAGAGAGAGAGACGAACGCGAGCAGGGAGGGGCAGAGAGAGAGAGGGAGACACAGAATCCCGAGCAGGCTCCAGGCTCTGAGCTGTCAGCACAGAGCCCAATGTGGGGCTTGAACTCATGAACTGTGAGATCGTGACCTGAGCCAAAGTCAGCACTTAACTGAGTGAGCCGCCCAGGCGCCCCTGGAGCTATTTCTTAAACTCTAAAACAGAGGAGATGGAAACTTGAATTCTAAACTGAATCTCTGTTCCAGGAACATGGGGGCAGGGTGAAATTCTACAGAATTCTCAGAGTGGTCTTCACAATGATTCTAACTTGGAGTCTAGTACTACAGACTAGCTATAAAGAAATGAAGAACTTAGATGCCATTATTTGTGGTGCCACAGCCTCTCTAAATCTTAATTTGGAATCACAGTATTTTTAGAATTGCAAGTTACCATAGAAATTGTTCCAGTTCAACCCTCTCATTTTGTAGATGAGAAAACCAATCTGGAAAGGTCCAGTGACTAGCCCAGGGTCATTCTGCTGGTTCACGACTGAACCAGGAGTAAACAATCCACTTTTCTCTCAGCTATTCTTTGCCATGAATTTGTTATGTTTATTTGAAGGAACTAAGGAAAATCATCTGATCAAAATACCTAACCTTAAAATACTGTGGAATTTCAAAGGGGCTCACTATTCTCGAAAAGACTGGAAATGCAAGGAATGAGGAGGGCAGCATTATCGGGAGGAAGGAGGCTTGTGCTGACCCGGCTCCGTCTGAACAAATGATAGGTTCCAGGTATCATGTTGGCTGAGTGCAAACCGTCACTGATAATGTCTTTGAGACAACAGGTAAAGAACCTGGAGTGTCCAGGGCAACTGGGACACATGGCCATTACACCCACATGGAATGCCTTCCCTTCTCCCAGCTTGATCAAAGCTGTTCTCAAGTCCAAAACCTTGCTTACCTTCTTCTAAATGTCTAAGACTTCATTTGGCATTAAAAAATAGCCTACCTTTTATATTAATTGAAGTTTACCCATTTAAAAAGTAAAACATACTCATCAGAGAAAACGTGGGAAATACAGCAAAGTCAGAGACAGAGAGAGAGAGAAAGAGAGAGGGAGAAAGGGAAGGAAAAGAAGGAAAAAACCAAAACAGTGCACGGTCTCATATCTAAAGATAACCAAGGCTAATGTTTTGGTGTTAATTATATTTTAAAAGTTTGCAGAAAGAAAAAAATCTGAAGCAAATATGCCAAATGTTAATAGTGGTTAATTCTGGGTGGTAAGAGTGTGACTACTGTTTTCTTCTTTGCACTTTCCATATTTTTCATATAAACTAAAAAAAAATCCCTTGTTTTTTTCCTTGACTACAAAAATAACACCTGATCAGTGTCAAACACTTGGAAAACATGGAAACACACACACACACACACACACACTAACACCCTGAATCTTTGTGTAAATACATGGACATGTGTACATATGCATCTTTATATAACTTAAAAAACCTAAACATATCATAAAGGCTTCTATATGCCAAGATGTGGTTGTCATCAGCCTGCCCTGTTAAGAGCTACCTAGTATTTCATTATATATCCCTATTTTATTTTTGTGATCCACATCACTTACTAATGATCATTTCAACTGTTTCCAATTTTTCTTCTATTATTAAAAACACTAATAGCTAAATCTTTGTGTACATCAAGGATTAGTCACATAGGATAAATTCTTAGAATTGGAATTGCTGGGTCAAAGGATATATACATGTCTAAGGCTTTGATACATTTGCCAAATTGCCCTGGAGGCAGATTGAGACAGTTTACATTTTTTAAAAGATTGAAATGGTTTACATTTTACCACTAGCCCTTTGGCCTGTTTATCAGGATTTTTTTTCTGGCTTAGCATTTGCCTTTCCCTTTTGTGCAATTAATCTGAGTTTGCTTTTATCAAAGTTACACGTGTGCATGGTTTAATAAGACAACAAGGTTTGTTAAGTGAAACATGAGGTCCTATCCTCCCTCCCCCTGCCCTAATCTCACTTGCCCAAGACAAGCACTTTTCGACTCTGCTGGGTTTTTTGGCACATACCTTTGCATCTCTAAATAAAAATGCGTCTATTTCTATCTCTGGTTAGGTTTTAGGCACTAGCTGCTGACTTTTTCTTTCGCAAGGGGAAGATTTAACGAAACCAACCAACTGACCAAGCTCTTGCAGGCTTTTTTCTACCCGTTACACAAATGCACATCCGAATCTCCTCTTCTTCTCGATACAGTTACGTGATTTGGTCAGATCAATAAGTAAACTGTTGGGAGAATAATGTGATTTCTTGTCCTTCCTGCATGTGGCAGCCAGCAGATTTTTCAGCCTCAGCCAAACCTTCAGAAGCTGCAGAGTTCCGAGCCAAGCCTCCCAGCTAGGCCACTCCCAAATTCCTGACCTGCAGAAACTGGTACTGTTGTTTGGAGACGCTAAGTTGTGGGGGAATTTGTTACACAGCAATACGTAACTAATAACACTGCACGCTTTTGCTCCTAAAATTGTCATTTTTCTTTCACGTGCTGAATTTTCTATGTATTTATTGTCTAAATTTACTCTTAATACATTCACTCGTGTCAGGTATTCACTTCTTGAAGCAGTGTCCGAGGCAGCCTCCAAGCTGCTCCGGTCAGGACCCGTCGCCTCGGCCCCTGGTGTAGAGCTGGAGGCCCAGGCTCGCCCTTCTCCTGCCTCCTATAGGAATTCTGACAGCTGGAATCCGGGTCTTCCTCTTTGCTGGTTTACTCCTCGTTTGGGCAGAGTAAAAGTGTGTGTGAAATCACCTTTTGAGACTTTGCATAACCAAAACCTCTTTGCTCTGACTCACACCAGTTAGTCTGACTGGGTATAGAATGTAGGTTGGACTTCATTTCTTTCAGAATCTCACAGACTTTGCTTCCCTGGCTTCTCATTTCCCAGTGCTATTGTGGTGAAGTCTAAAGCACTCTGATTTCTATCCTTTGTAGGCAACCTACCCATTCTTCATGCAAGCTTCTTGAATCATGTTTGTCCCTGGTGGTATAAACTTTCACAGTGATGTACCTCGTGGGTCTAATTGCACTCACTGTGCTGGGATACGCACCAAATTCTTTCAATTTGGCAATCTGTAATCTTTCATTCTGGGCTTAAAAAAA